TACTACTGACCAATTTTCACACCAGCGGACTGAAAAATCTGATCTAAGAACAGCTGCACAACACTTCGAAAGGCCTCCAACTGCTTTTTGCTGTTGTCGTTGTTTTATTAGATTTATCAGATTATTTGTTTTGCTTCGCAAATTAAGAATTAATATCAAACATCATGAAGATCATACATCGACTGTTGCATTCTGGATACTTGTCCAGGACTGACCGTTTATGAGATTTCAATCTCTGTATAACAGGCATCACGAAATGCCTTCATTAAATAAGATCATTCCAATTTCCATCATTAACAAATTTCCATATATATGTCAAATGGAATTATGTTGTAAGACGCGTATTACGTGTGAAGTTAGCACAAGCAACCCTTCACGCGATGACGGCGATGCCGACTTTTGCTCACATTTCAAAACATCCTTAACTGTCCTGAACAAGTTAAAAAAAGGTTTCAGTAATACTGCTACCTAAACAGATAAACTTCTTGTGCATCTTAGAAATATTGATCAGTTTTATATGGTAAATAACGCAGACGTCTGAATGACAACGACATGAAAGCATTGAATGGAAGTGTCTTCAAAAACCTGACATGGCTAGAGGAACTGTAAGTAAATGTATCAATACTGTTGTGGAAAGAATTCCTTATCCTAAAAACAAAATTATGGATGATAAAATTTACTAACTGCTTTGGCTGGATCAGGACATATCGTGATCTGCTGAATCATGTTGTGAAAATAAAACAGAGGCAGATAATGATTTTATAGCACTGCATCGAGTTTGGGAACATTAGTCGATTGGTTAAGTTTTTATTGTGTTATTGATAAGGTAATATGCTGAATCGTATCTCTTCGTATTGCACTGCATCCCATTGCGTTATATTGTATAGTCAGAGGTAATATATGGCTATTTTCTTTGCTGTGGATCAAATTATACAGCTATCAAAGAAAAACTGTTTTCATAACGCAGCAGCATTCCCCTCTCCTACTGCCCTGTCTATACTTGTTTTTCCATTTCATTTTTTTCTTTTCTCTTTTCTTCCCTTCCCGTCAGTGATCATAAGACAAGGCGGTAAATAAATGTTTCAATAAAACTAAATAGATTTTGCATACAGATCATATTTTTTTTCAAATTACAACACAGATGGTTGCAAGACAACAACTTCACTGAATTGCCTCCTGATTTATTCCAAGATCTAAAACTCCTAAGCCTACTGTAAGTTAACTCAAGTTTTCCCCTTGTTTAAACTCAATAACTGCAGAGAGTGTTCCAGCATTAATTAAATTTTTCCTCTCTTTTGTAAAATTACAGCTCGTGATTGCTTGTATATTTTTACACAGATCCTGCCAGTATCATACTTTTCTTTCCTTTCAGTGATTAAAGCATGTAACAAGAAAATGATCTAAAATCTTCCCATCTGCACCGATAGCACAGAAATTAAAACTGAATCATCCTATATTGTGTTTCCGTTGCTGAATTGACATTTTTAGTACAAAGATAATACATACATTAAGGAAATTCATGCATGTTATGAATATCAGAGTTGTTTTCATTGGACATCTATCTCTGTTTTGAACCATGTTGGAATATTTTTTTTAGATCACGAGCTTAATGATCTCTTCATTGATACACGAGAGGCAGCCATTGTCTATGTTGGGGAAAAGAGTTCAGTGAATACGCAAATTTCAAGTTATTAGCGGCCTATAATTGCTTTTCTTGTTATAGATATTGACCAAACTAAATGAATGAAGTGACTCTTGAATATTCTCTGTATTATAAGACAAACATTGCATGTATATATATGACTACATGCTGCTCTTTGGTTGGTTCTGATGACTAGCAACTTTATGTACGATAAATAGAATGAGAGAGATGGTAAGTTTTGATCTCAGTAAAGAAAATAGAGAAAGATGTTTTTCGTCTTGTCACGAGCGTGTAACAAAGAAAAACTTCTGAGTCCCTATGAGGAATTGAAAATCAGACCTTCAGAGCTCTATACTGAGCCACAGAGACTCTACGGTGGGCGAGGTCTATTACGAAGTCTATGACACGCGTCCTGCATACTGCTAGGACCAGGAATGTCGATAGCGTCACCGTAGATAATTTTTTCTTTATCCTACATTCGTGACAAGACGAAAAACATCTTTCGCTATCTTTATGTATTTTAACTTGGAAATTTCAGATCGCAGACTTAATGAAAATGCTTTTTTTTTGTCTCGTCATTCCAACCAGCCTTCTGTCAAATAACAAGTTGAAAAGTCTACCAGACGGACTTTTTAACAGCCTTTCCAAGCTGACACATCTGTGAGTGAAATAGCAATTTAACCAAGGAGATAATTGTGAAGAACCAAATGATCATTTTTAAAATATTGTTTACAAAAGCATAGCCGTCACAGCTAAAAAATCATGACTTTTCCAGCTTGTATTTGTTAATCTGGTCAGTTGAATTAGAGGATGCTATTTTATGTGGTTGTTGTGCTTTGATTAGTAATGTTAAGGTACTAGGAGGTGTAAAAGTTCAAAAGCTTCTGTTTAAATAGGAACCTTAACAACTCCCAGATTTGTTTTTTTGCAGGATAAAGTACCTTCTTTCAAAATATGATAAGCTATTAACTAACGGCTGATGATGATAATAATAGCAATGATAATAATAGTAATAATAATGATGATGATGATGATGATAATAGTTGTAACGGAAAAGTAATTTTGCATTTGGATTTCATCTCTATGCCGCAGGTTTGTTTTGTTTTTTTACCTTTTTTTTGGCTTGTTTGTTTTACGGTTTTTGTGTTATTGAGGTTTCCCCCCAAAAAAGTCGGGGAATGACATTTCCTTGATTTACCCGTTTTTCAATTTTGTATAAATGAAACATGTTTCATTTAATGTTTTCCCTTAAAAAATTAAACATTTTTTTATCGTAGCGTTCTTAGCAAGGATAATTTGCTAGGATCTTCTTGAGCTGGAATTTAAAACATTAACCTTTTTTCTGGGAATATGTCTGAGGGATTTAGGGGAAATAAACTGAAAAGGGAAAGCAAATGCACCAGTAAACAACATTTTCTGAGAGTTTGGTAGTTCCATCATAAGCGAAATCTTTGTAGCTGTGGTAATAATTGTTTTCAGGGATTTGTCAAACAATGAAATTGGAAATCTGCCACCGTATATTTTCAGGAACATTACAGCGGTAGAATTTCTGTAAGTAAGATAAATATTGGCATAAAAAAAAAAATTATTAATTATTGTTATAGGATTTTCTTGAATATAAAAGCACTTAATGACTATAAAAGCTTCCTAGTTAATGACAACTTACTTTATAATTTACCTCTGGAAGGCCAAGGTTTTGTTTTCCTTGTTATCCGAGTTGACAATATCTAAGAATTTGTTGTATTGCAGGATCAAACTACCCTGGCACTAATGTTGTAATTTGTAACAGGAAGCGAACCAATAATGATTTTTTTTCAACTTCAGCTTTAAACAACAGTCCTCGTTCGAGGCCCATGGGAATAAACTTGAGAGTTTTTGTGCTTAATCTTGAGATCATTATAGATATGTCTCATGTGTTCTTTGAAGATTAAGATATAAAGACTGGGAGCTATTTTACTGGAAAACATCGCCATTCCCTGCCTTAACTACAGAAGTTACCTTTAAAAAGCAGATTTAAAAATATCACTCCCACATGAGCTAATTTCAGTCTAAACTGCCCATGATGCTCTCTTCAGGAAAATGGACTACAACAAAATTGAGAAACTTCATGAAGATCAGTTCCAGGGCTTGGTGGAGCTGTTCGATTTGTAAGTACACTTAGACCTCAAAATCTTTCTTCATGATGATCTGAATCGCACACTGTACACAGTAATATTATTTTAATGTTAACTCCATTATAGCTTTAATAAAAGTTGCCTTACCCAATCATGTTATGTTAATGTATTTTAAAATTTATTTCATTATCCATTCCACCTATTTAAGATATCTCTCAGAGAACAAAATCGAGGCTCTGCCTGACAAAATTTTCAAGGGCGTCAAAAACCTCAAAGCTCTGTGAGTACAGATAATCACGCACAAAAGAATTCTACAATATTTGAAGTGATGGAATGAATATAATATAAGCGTTCAAAATCTGAGATTTTAGTCCAAAAATTTAACATGATGTAGGACAGATATGGTGAAAGTTACCTTGTTCAACGAAGCAATGTTGTTCAATTTCATGTTGCACTAAAAATGTGCCTTTTAATATAAACAAAGGTGGATATCATAGAAACAAAAAGAAAAATTTTGGAGATCTGTTTAGTTTTAACGAAAAGTCCATGTAAATCTATTAGGACGAGGAATATGGCTACTGCAAGTCCCCGTTTAGGACCTAATTGTAAATGGTTACGTACTTCGTTTCAGCAATATCTTCGGCAATAGGATACAAAACGTTACCAGCACGACTTTCAACTATGCCCACGAATTGCGATTTTTGTAAGTTTACTGAGAATGACAGATGTTTATCTAGGCAACTAAACTTTGTTGCAGATATTGAAATCGGATAACTTGTGGGCGAGTATTCTTTTGATTTTGTTGTAAGCAAAGAAAAGACTCGTAAATGGTAGTTTTTGAAAATAACTTTGACACACCAGAGCAATATTTCCCTGGATGAGTCCGGAAAGAGACTTTTATACAGCGAACGAACTCAACCGAATGGGCTGCCACGTTCATAAAATCAGTAGCCATCAAAAGTTTCCAAGAAAGCATGATGAGACCTATCTTGGGCTTAATGTTCAGATTTGAAAAATCTTTGAGAAAATATCATGCTAGGGTCCGTAATAAAAATCCTCAGTTAGGGTTCTTTATTTTGTCCTTTTGGACAGTTTTTTTTTAACATTTACATTAGCTTGATGAATCTTATTCTTGAAAATTCATTTTTTGGAGTGAATCATTTTGTTCGGTTAATTATGATATAAACCAACTTAATGTTCACATCATGATTATTTGAAATTACAGGTTCATGCATTACAACCTGATGGCTGAGCTCCCCAAAGGCTTTTTCAGGCACTTGACGCACATCATCAGAGTGTAAGACTCCATAACGATCCTTTCCTTCACTCACCCCTTCAAACAATCATTTTAACAATAGTCTATGTTATTAATCAATTAATGATTATTAATGGCTTTCAAAGATGCAATAATGAAATGATATTTCTTCTTTTTCTTCTTCTTCTTTTTTTGAATTTTAGAACCTTGGACACCAACCTGATGTGCTGCCATCTCGATCTTTTCAGGCAGGATGCTGATTGCGAATATGTCTTCAATGATAACTTCGCAAGCTGCCACTCCATGTTCCGCCACCATGCTCCAAGGAGAACTCTTTGGATTGTCGGTCTCCTCTCGTTGTTAGGGTCTTTATTCGTAGTTGGGTGGCAGTATTTCTACCCTGATAACAATGTGGTCCAGTCTATCATGTTGGTGAATCTAGGTGTATCTGACGGCATCATGGGGATATACCTTATCATTATAGGTATAAAAGACCTGCAATGGTCAGGGGAATACTATCTGCATGACTATGAGTGGCGCACCGGTTGGTTTTGCCATTTCAATGGTGCCATGTCTGTCTTTTCAAGTGAAGTGTCAGTGATGATGATTTCTCTGATCGCATTGGACAGACTCAAGAACATCGTGTTTCCTTACACCTTTGCAAAAATTACCCCAAGGCAGACCCGTATAATGTGCGTAGTTATCTGGCTGGTGGGAGGCGTTATGGCATTCCTTCCCTTGTCCGGAATGCACTATTTCAGTGAGAGGTATTACGGCAATAATGTAGTGTGCCTGCCCCTGCAGCTTTCCCCTGAATTACAAGAAGGCTGGGAATACTCCACTTCCATCTTTATCGTTTTGAATTTTTCCCTATTCATCTTCATCATGGTTGCTTATATTGCCATCTTGTGGAAATCATGGTCGTCAAGCAGACAGCTTGGTGCACATGGAACTGTTCGTGAAATACGAGCAAGAGCACAAAGTGCTCAGGCCAAAAGAGAAAGAGCACTTGCCAAAAGAGTCTTCTTCATTATTCTGACCGATTTCTTGTGTTGGATGCCAATCATTGCTATCGGCATCCGTTCCCACGTCGAGAAAACATTTGATCCACCTGGTGATCTGGCAGTGTGGATTGCAGTGTTCGCTCTGCCGATAAATTCAGCCATCAACCCATTGCTGTATACGCTTTCTACTCCACAGGTAACATGTTTCTCTTTTTTGTTACTTTGGAATAGCACCTACCGTTATGTTCAAATTTGGTTTCGTGTCAGAGCAGGCTGGCAACTCAATTTTGTAATTGTAACGATTGACATACAAAACAAGCATGAAAAAGTAAATGATCGGACAGATTTTTTTAGCTTCTCCGCCGTTGACTTTAGCCATAGAGACCAACGTGACTTCTAAATACGTTACTTGAAAGTCTTAACGTAAACTATTCAATATATTTTGAATGTCTAGGTTCAGCCTGTGTTGAAAGCAAAACTGAGGAAGTTGTGGTCCAATGTTCGATCTATTTTCAGCAGAGGACAAAATCAAGAAGGTACAGTTTTAAGTTCCATTGAAAAATACCACGATAACAATAATTATATTTCAAACCTTGAAATGTTTTTTTTTCGAAAAAGAAACTGAGCAAATTATTGAAACCACAAATGTACAACTTACAATATGTAAAGT